GCTGAACTCTGTGGGAAAGAGAAAACCAATAATAAGTAACCAACACAAATGCAGGCACACACTGAAAAGGAGGGGGAAAAAGAGGAGAAAAAAATTAAAAATGGAGAAATTAGAGAAACATTGTGAGCTGTATAGAGCTACGTAAGTATTTTTTTGTAAGTTCATGACACTACATTTACTGCAGCAAAAGAAAGAAACAGTAACCTGTTCTGACTTTGTTACAAATTAAATCGTTTTCAAGATGTTGAAAGATCATTTGACAGCTTATGCTGAAGCAGTTATTAATAGTTTCTTTTTCTTTTTAATTATCACATTTTGTATTGAAGTATTTTGCTCAAATAACAGGCCTGTACAATAGAACCTAAAATTTCATAATAAGTCAACATAACACTGCACGTTGTTGCTTGAATGATTGAAAATTAGGACAAACTTTGGCCTTAAAACATAAAAAAATGTTTAAATTATTGCTATTTATTGCTGCATTGTTTTTTTTTATTTTGCTCTGTTCCATGCACTTTTTTCATGCAACAATATTGAAACATTTGTCACTGAAAAAATGAAAAATCTGAAAAAAGTAGCAATAACAGTGACTTTCCTGCAGTATACAGCCAGATGCTGTCACCAGTTGGGCCCAGTTTCCCAAAAGCGTTTTATTGTTTTAACTGGTAGAGAAACTGTTCAGTGTGATGCTGTCTCTACCATATAAGAATAATCTTTGTCCTAAGATGCTTTTGGAAAACTTTCACAGAATGAAATGAAAACAAAAAAACATTTGAACTTACTCTGAATGACTTAAATACAATAGAGTAAAATTTCTTTGCTCACAAATATGATATTAGTATATAGTAGTATTGTCATTTGAAAAGATTGAGAAAAATACAGATCCAACCGAACTTGAACATGTAACTGAGTAAGGTCTGTTTAGGGACAGTACACTGACAGCATTTGCAGCATCATCACATACAAATGGTCAAAACTAGAATCACTATATTACTACAAGGTCAAGACAAACAGGAGAAGAAAATCCTTTATTTAATAGTACATGAACATTCTCATAATGGCATCAACTTCTTTGAATGTAGAATCTTTAACATAATGTTTCTTATCTCAGTAGACTGCAGTGCATATATGACAGGGTTTAGAATACCTGGGCCAATGTGCACAAGCAGTGCAGCTCCTTTCCTGTATTCTGCATACCCAGAGAAACGATGAAGAAGGACCATGATAAACCCAGATAGCCACATGATCAAATAGACAGTTAAGTGTGTGCTGCAGGTTTTCAAAGCCTTGCTGTTCAGAGTTTTGTTTTTACTAGTAAGGCAGACAGCTGTTATTTTGGCATAAGTAACTACAATACTTCCCATGGAAGTGCCAAGTACAGCTGCTGTGTATGTCAGGCCGTATACATTATTAATGTAAGGATTCTCACATGACAGTTTGAACAGTGATGCATTATCACAGAATGGATTTGCTATTTGTGTTCCACAGCGATTCAGCCTTATTGTCAGAGCTAACAAAGTACCCACAAGGAGCAGAGCTACACCCCAGGCTGATGCAGTCAGTTTAGCTATCATTTTGTTAGTCATAACAGTTGTGTAGCGCAATGGATTACATATGGCAACATATCTGTCAAAGGCCATAGCCATGAGAATAGTGTGAGAGGCACAAGTATACATGTGGTAACAGAAAGCTTGAGTAACACACTCAGCATAACTTATGTAGCGTTCAGATGCTGGCTTAATAATGTCCATCATTATCCGAGGAACAACAACAGAATTTCCAAACACATCGTTAAAAGGAAGGTTGCAGAAGAGAATGTACATAGGCTCATGCAGGCTTCTTTCCATTGTTATGAGCAGAACGATTCCGATGTTGGACACCATAATGAGCACATAGAAAACCAGGAAGAAAAGAAATGTAGGATACAGGTTTTGCTCAGAGACAGTCAGTCCCTCCAACTGCAAGACAGGACTATTAAATGTCAAGTTTTCCATTTAGAAACAATATGACAGCTGTTGAAATAAGAAAACAAAGAGAGATTAGAAAGATCAGTTCATCACAATCATAAATCAGGGATCTTTAAATATTTGCTCTCTTTTCAAATTTATGTATTTAACATAAATTTTACTTTTAGTAAGTATCTTTTCCATAGTTTCATTAAAAATTTCTAATTTCAAAATTATATACATATGTATACATTTTGCTGTATTAATATAATTTACATGTAACAAACATTCACAATTACATCTAGAAGTCTTAACATGGCAGTAGAAACAGTTGGTGAGAAGAAACATCAGTATTGTTTCAGTGTTACAGTAACATGAGCAAAACAGCACTGATCACTTTCCTTTTCTGGTAAAACAACTTCAGGATCGATGCAAAACAACACAACAATTATATGCCTGGCCAGCTGTCCTGCCGTCCCTTTATTGGCATTCTTTTGTGGTTCCAACTGCTCATGGGATTTCTGATGAAGTGTTGTGACAGCATTGTGTTGTTTGCAGTGCTTAACTACCTGCATATGTAATCCTGTTCCTGATTTATCTCTGTCTTGTGTACTTAAGTATTTTCCCTGCTATGGCACTCCCAGTGTAACTCAAGAAAGGCTTGTTAATTATATGATGATTTGAATCAGGTGTGTTGGAGCAAGGAAAACATATTTTGTGACCCGTTAATCGTATTTTTCAGCCTTTTTGCCTTGATACAGTGTAAAACATTGAATTACATAAATGTTTATGACTGTTTTATAACACAGTCATTTCTTAACCAGCATATGAAAATTTGAATATAAATACAAATCAATATGAGAAGAAGTAAATTTTTCACACTTAGTACCTAGTATTTCTGTTTCTGTTTGCTCAAATTGTTTAAGAAACAGTTGACCCACTTGACTCATTCTGAGGATTATGCACATTTGACATTGTTTACTTTACAAACTGTACATATATTACTGTACATATAATTGTTTTTAAGAATGCACTCAATGTTATGTTTATTCATGTGTGTTGATGCGAGGGCTCTTGATGTTTTGTATTGTATATGTAATGGCAAGTTCCAAATAATAACAACCAAGCGTTGTTCCTTCAAATGAACCTAGTTTATTAGAAATGTTTCGAAATACTGAAAAAAGAAGAAAAGTTCTTATGCTGAATGTATACAGATTTTTCCTTTTCAGTCTAAAAAGTGACAAAAAGTAAAAAGCATCTTAAGTTACAGACTAGTTTCTCACAGATCTTTTAAAGAACTCAAAATTAAAGTCACATCACCCTTCCACGTAGTTCGTCACTTATCTGGTCATTGATCTCTGAAGGATACAATAGCTGAATAGGTCACAACAAAGTCCTGTGGGAAGTACTCATGACCATATGAGTCCATCTCCTCCTGGGAACATTTCCATAATCCATCCCATTTTCCATGTTTTTCTTGGGATTTATCCTATCCAGTGATGTCTATGTCTTCCACCTTTAGCACATTGTTAGTAAATGTGCAGCGCTAATGGGTTCATTTCAAGTCCATCATGTAGTCTTTTTTCCATTGATTCCAAAAGCTAGCAAAGAGTATTTGTCTATATTTCCATCTTTGTGTCACCCCCTCTTTTCTTAGATTGGACATATGTGTAATGGAACAGAAACAGACAGTTGCTTGCGGTAAAAATAAGAAATCAGGCTTTTCTTAGAAAGGGCTTGACAATGCTTGTAATAAAAAAGACCACTGGGATAGACTCCATCACCCCCCGCGACCCAGAAGGATAAGCAGTTTCAGAAAATGTGTGTGTGTGTTCTAAGGTCAGTCTGCTTTATTGATTTCTGGCTTTTTTTAAAGTCCTGGTTTGCCTGCTTAAATGAGTAAATGACTATGCATATTTATCTTCTTGCAGTGAAGCATTTCAAGGCTAAGAGAACTCTCCCTGTTGTTAGATCTGATGTTAACCATAAATAAACTGGCCACTGAGAGCACAAATGAAGAGTGCAATATAGGCCTGTGGCATGCACCTGCCTGCCGGGCCCCGATGACGGCCACAAGAGTGCAAATCCCAACCACCGCAGAGGGACGCAAGTGACGGCGGGAGGAGGAAGTCAGCCGCGAGAATCAAAGTAGGGAAAACTAGAGAAAGGAGAATCAGAACAAGGAGAAGGAATCGAAAGGAGAATCAGAACAAGGAGAAGGAATCGAAAGGAGAATCAGAATCAATTCTGCCCCTGACAAGGGGTCGAGCTGCGCCCCCCTTAGTTCTGTGTGTGCCCCAGTATAGCTGGCAGTCTAGAAAGGCTCTTGTCCCTCAACAACCTTGAAAAAATGTATTTGTCAGTTATACAGTAGGCTCTGTACTTTTAGACACTAGATCCTCCCTTTCCTTGCATAACTGAGATCTGGTCATTACACAGAGATAGAAATCTTCAGGATGTACTTTATCAAGACAGTAAAAGATACTGAAATTAAATGCATAAAGTGTGAAGTTTTTTTCTTTTGGAGGTCTGTGTTCAGTAAGTATTGAAATTACGTCATCTAGTAATTCTTTGCTTTAAAAATAAAAGTGGAATTGTAGTTTAACTCAGGTATCATGATATATCTTGGAGCATTTGGTGACATGCATAAAAATACTTACAAGCATTTGTACAAGTAAAAGTTCATTGCTGGGATTAAAAGTTAAACTGAATAGTCTATAAAATTGCTATGTCCTGCCATGTAAAGCACTCTGTTGCTAGTACAGAATAAAATTTAACACACACAGAAAATTAATTAGTTCAAAATTGGATGTCTTCTTTCAAATATGCATATTAACGAGAGGATTCTTTTGTATATTAGCATTTGAAGACACCCAGAAAGTACAATCAGATTTTATTTAAGTATGCTTACATTTATCCATCTATGGTAAAGGGCTATACCTGGACAGCATAAGCGGCACAGAAACAGTTTCATGGTTTCAAAACTAGAAATAGTTATTGCTTATTATAACAATGGCAACTCACACTAAAGAAAGAGGTTCTTGAAGATTATCATCATGGCGTTACATTATTTGAATGCAGAATCTTCAGCATAACCTGTCTAATGTCTTTAGTCTGCAAAGCATATATGACAGGGTTCAGAATGCCTGGGATAATGTGATTAAGCAGAGCAGCTCCTTTCCTGTAGTCTGCATAACCAGAGAAACGATGGAGTATGATCATGATGAACCCAGACACCCACATGATCATATAGACAGTCAAGTGTGTGCTGCAGGTTTTCAAAGCCTTGCTGTTCAGAGTTTTGCTTTTAGTAGTGAGGCAGACAGCTGTTATTTTTGCATATGTAATTACAATGCATCCCATGGAAGATCCTTTTAAAACTATAGTATACACCAGGCCATATACATTATTAATGTAAGGATTCTCACATGCCAGTTTGAACAGTGATGCATTATCACAGAATGGATTTTCTATCAGTGTTCGACAGTGATTCAGCCTTATTGTCAGAGCTAACAATATGCTCACACAGACCAGCGCTACACCCCAGGCTGATGCAGTCAGTTTAGCCACCATTTTGGTAGTCATGACAGTTGTGTAATGCAGTGGATTGCATATGGCAACATATCTGTCAAAGGCCATAACCATGAGTACAGTGTGAGAAGCAGCAAGATGCATGTGGTAACAGAAAGCTTGAATAACACAATCAGTGTAACTGATGTAGCGCTCAGACGTTGGCCTAAAAATATCCACCATTAACCGCGGGACAATGATGAAGTTTCCAAACACATCGTTAAAAGGAAGGTTGCAGAAGAGAATGTACATAGGTTCGTGTAGGCTTCTTTCCATAGATATAAGCAAAATGATTCCAGTGTTAGATACCACAATGAGCACAAACACAATTAGGAAAAACAAAAATGTAGGATACAGAGTTTGTTCAGAGACAAGCAGTCCTTCCAGCTGCAAAACAGGACTATTAAATGTTAGGTTTTCCATTGAGAAAAGAAAATGACAGCAGTTTAAAATCTGACACACAAATATAAACCACCGCCTTTCATTTGAAATTTCAAAATATTTTGCTTAGCAGTCAGTTGTGCTTATATCATTTACATACAACATAAATGTCTCAGTAGAAGACAAAACATATACTGAACAAGATCATTGAAAGGTAAACTGTTTCAGAGATTACAATTTTGATATTTTAGCTTCCCTGGATGACTGAAATATCTTTACGTGGTAGCAGAAAAAGCGTCTTCAGTATTGATTCAGTACATCTCATTAATACAACCCTAACAGTTGTAGTAGATGCCCTGCCAGCCATCCTTTTTATTGACATTCTTCTGCTTCTGAAGAGCTCATGGGACTTCTGACGCAGTGTCATAACAACAATTCGTTGTTCAGTATATGTAATCATCTAGATATCTTTAAACTGGCTGTGGCTAAACAACTGTGTAATCTCTTGGTGCAGTGTCTCGATCTATATACTCTGTAAAATGCAAAGTTACACAAATAATTTCAGCAACTTATTTGATGATTAAATATTATTCCATAACAAATTCATATTCATTTCTCAGGGAGTGAATACATTTGAGTGTATTGTACAAATTTAGGATTAGGAGCAATCCAAACAGGATCAAAGGGTCAAGGTACAGGAAAACATAAACCATGGCTCAGAACGTGCTTGGGAAACTGAGACTTTGCAAAGCTACTTGGGAAGGAGGTGCCAAGAGGTTTCTCATTTACAGCAGTTGGCTGTGGTGTGACTTTGTTGATTGTGTCAGCATTACCTTCTCTAGCACAGAAGAAACGGCACAATCCAAACATCTGGCTGGTCCAGGACTTTCCAAAAAACACAAAATGAGAGGGCAGTTCTATTGTGCTGGGAACAGTGTTATTAGAGGCCTTGAGCAATGCAGAGAGCTTTAACTACCATTTAGCCTGGACCTCAACTGTGAGCATACCTAATAATCCCAGGAGAGACTGTTCAGACCTTTTCCAGGCACTGTTCCTCTGTGAATGGTATGGAGTTGTCCACACTGTCACAGCATTACGATAGTGAGATTGGCTAAAGTACATTTTACCCACAATCACTTTTTGTACCTTTGTACTAATATTTCAACAAAATAAAGTCTTTAAGTCAGTAACTTCTTATTAATACCAAACACCCCTTTTTGCTAATGATGCAACACACAGGATGTGCAATGATATTGTGACGTTAGCGAAGAAAAGACACAGGAAACATTGCACTTTAAAGGTGGCTGGACTGGTCACCATTGCACTTTAAAGGTGACCAGTCCAGCCACCTTTAAAGTGCAATGTTTCCTGTGTCTTTTCTTTCTTGCACTGGTAGTGGGCAGGTCACTTCTAGCTATACAGTTCTACTCTATGGTAGACATCAACCCAACACCAACCACCCTACAGCCCAGAATAGTACAACCAATACTTTGCGTGTTAAGCTAACAACAACAACTTGCCTACAATAAATGTCTCTGCTACTGCGAGCGCTGCGCCTCCTGAGTAGAGTCTCTTCACATGGCTGTTTTGCAAGGCCATGCCTCCCACACTCCTATGGTACGAGTGCCTGTGAAGTAAGCTAGGCAGTGTCAGTGGTGGCTGACCTCCAATAAGTAGCTACTTTGCAAAGGTTTACTTAAGACAAAAGACAGGCCAGACATTTTTCTTTACCTCTACCACTCAATAAAATAAAACACTTGTCAGTTGTAACCAGGCTGTATCTGGTTCTTTCCTTTACCTTGCAGTTTAATCTTGTGCGTCAGCCTTGTGCATGTATGTCTATGGATGTACTATGGATTTACTGTCACCCCAACAGTGAAGTGAAATATCTGCTCAGAAAGCCAAAATTGAAACTATTCTGTGGTGTTTGGATCTGTAGCCAATGCTAGCTGGCTTCTCTCTTCTAGCTAGCTTAGGTAGTGAAATCCAAACACCCCAGTATAGGTTTCCGTCTAACTGCTCCACTGTTACAAATCCAGACGATCAGTGTGAGCAAAGTTTACTGATTGGGGTTAGAGTATATAAGGCAAAATCATACCTATTCTTTAGTAGCAAAGCTGTAGCATGCTGTGCTATGCAAACATGGTTGTATCGTGCCTCCAACCACAGTATGGCCTCAGTTCCTGTATACTGCTGCCTAAAATCACCCGTTTAGAGATAAAGACTCACACCATGAGAAAGTACATTGGAATGTCTGGTGTTGAAGTGACAGAAATATAAAAAATAGAATTGTTCTGTGATGCTTTGAGCTGTACCTTGCTGGGCTATGCTAATGCTTGCGAAGTTAGCTGGCTACAGGTGCAACCCACCACAGTACCTCAGTGTCAGTAACTGATGTTCAAATAACAACCATTTAAAGTAGTGTTTCCCAACCAAGTTCCCAAGGCCCCACAGACGGTGCACATTTTTCCTTCATTTCTAAGCAGTTTGAGTTGGGTTGGAGTAAAAATCTGGACAGTCTAGGGAGGGCCTGGGGACTGGGATTGGGAAACGCTAGTTCAGAGAATAAAGATTCCAAGGATATGCCAAGAGACTAGTTTGGAGTGACAGCCAAAATCAAACATGTCTTGTAGTGTGTTTAGATAGTAGGATGTTAGCAGTTAGACACTCTTTTGAGTAAACCACACAAAATTGTAGCCAGTAATAGTTTAATAGTAGATTCTGGCTGGTATAGAAATTTCTGGTTACATACACTTTTTTGTATACATTTATTATTGAGGGTCTCAGGATCAGCTGTATGAACAGAGCAAACTAAATAACTGTGTATAAAGGTAGATAAATAGCTAATTAGAATACATAAAGCTCCATCAGGACATCACCAGATGTTTTGTATCTGAAATGTATTTTCAAGCAATTATTACAGAAGCACTGTAAAAAATCTACATAATTTGCAATAAATATCTGTCAATGTTGCCGGTAACTCCTGTGAAATTGTTGTTAATTGCTATACAAAGAATTATAGTATTTAACACCAATTTGTAGCTTTGTCCTGTAGGTAAAAAGGCACCACCTTTTTACAGTAATATTGAGGGTAATGTGAGAGTACACGTGAGCGCTGACTGTGTTTTTTTTCCTCAAAGGCTTTTATACATCTTTTGCCTACAGTCTTTGTGGTTGCCATCTTTGTACCAGGGTCCTGGTTCATTGCAAAGAAAATTATAAAATCATCCACATGACCTTTAATGCTCAGCATCCATGAAGAACCATGTGAAATATGGTTTTGCAGATTTACAGATGCTGTACCTATAATACACACTTACTTAGCTCTAACAATCAGTGTAAATAAAATAGTACAACTACTTCACATCAGCTAAAAATACCTTGTATAGGTTATTAAATGCTTAAAACAAAACCAACCGTTTCTCTGTACTTCACCAAACACATGGTCATGTATATACCTAAACATCACACAAACATGAATACTGATCACTGCATTCTCTCCGTTACATAATCCTATTCCACTTTCTGAGTGCAAAGTTTTTATTCCCTTTCTGAAGGGCTCAACACAGTCCAGCATTTATGCACATATATTTATGTTTCAGGCAAGGACTATCAGCACTCTTTTATTAGGAATGTATTAGAGATTATTTTTATTATTTTTTGAGATAATAAATGTTAGTGGATATTTTTTATTTGCTTTCTTCATGTTCTATTTATTCTTGATTTTTTGGAAACCTTTATAAGCAGTGTACAAATATCAAGGAGAACCTAATGTCCCAAGTTCATATTCAAATCTTTGTAATAGGTTGAATAGCAACTCTTATGAGCATGAACAATGAGGTTATATTTTAAGCTAGCCAAAGGCAGCTGCTTTGAGTGAAAGCAAGGATAAAATGTTGGCTTGTGACATAAAAAAGAAAGAATTTTACACATAATGTATCATGTGACAGGTGTTTTAGTTTTGTTGAGTTTGTACTTCGTCATGCAACAATTTTGAAGAGTTTTCTTGACAATGTGAGAAAATATGTGAAGAGCAGAGCTGGAGAGAGCAGCCTAAACATACATGCAAGTAAAAACATTGTTTTGTTAGTGAAATTACAACTCAAGTGAAAATACAAGTAGTCTATCACCAACTTGAGTAAAAGTAAGAAAATATGAGGTTAACCTCTTTAATTCTGAATATCCTATAAAATTACAATCTACTGCCATGTAAAGCATTCCAGTGCTAGTACAGCATTAGTGGGAGCATTATATTGTATTTTTATATTTGAAAACACTCCAAATCCATCAAGTACAAATCCATCAAAACTTAACTTCTTAAAATTCCAGGCTTATTACATACTAAGCCTTATCATTCAGTAACTACAGGGACTTCAGTGCAAACTGGCTGAACTTTTCTTAGGTTATAGAAGTGTGTAATAAAACTTCAGGCTCACCGGCAGGTCCTGGCCATTTAAAAGGTTAAGTATATTCACATGTATCTGCCTCTGGTAAAAAAGGGCTGTACCTGGACAGCATAAGTAGCATGGAAACAGTTTCACAGTTTTATAACTAGAAATAGTTATCACTTATTATAACAATGGCAACTCACACTAGAGAGAGAAGTCCTTGAAGATTCTCATCATGACATTATCTTCTTCGAGTGTAGAATCTTCAGCATAACCTGTCTAATTTCACTAGTCTGCAGGGCGTATATGACAGGATTCAGAATGCCTGGAACGATGTGGAAAAGCAGAGCAGCTCCTTTCCTGTAGTCTGCATAACCAGGAAAACGATGGAGTATGATCATGATGAGCCCAGATATCCACATGATCAAATAGACAGTCAAATGTGTACTGCAAGTTTTTACAGCCTTTCTATTCAGAGTTTTACTTTTGCTAGTGAGGCAGACAGCTGTTATTTTTGCATATGTAATCACAATGCATCCCATGGAAGAGCCAAGTAAAGCTGCAGTATATATCAGGCCATATACATTATTAATGTAAGGATTCTCACATGACAGTTTGAACAGTGATGCATTATCACAGAACGGATTTGCTATT